GTTGGAGTTCTCGCGTAAGGACTCATGTTTGTAAGAGGTTTTGCCAACAGAAGAGAAAGCGAACGGGAATGCCCTTTTTGCCATCGTAGATCAGGGAACCCAAACTCCGGTCAGGAATACCCGAAGTTTGGACCCAGACTCATTTGATCATTGAGATTTGCGATCTGTCATTTGAGTCACAGACTCACTGTTTGTCGGCCGTCGTTAGAATTTGTCATCGTTACGGGGGGGGGTGGAATTTGGTCTGGCTTCGGAACGGAATACGACGATTAAATTTCGTCTGGATGCTCTAGTCCGGGGCCAGTGGCAGATAGACTGCGAACAATCAATAATCAATGAATAATTCATATTGACACAACTGTGAAAAAATCGGCACCTCGGTGGGATTCGGACCCCCGCAGTAAGGAGAAGGCTTTAGTACAGCCAACGCTCTAACCACTTGAGCTACGAGGTCCCGCCGGACGACGCGAGTTTAATCACATTTGGGTCAAGTTTACCCGCCCAACGTACTGCAACATCTGGAATCCACCAAATCTGATACAGTAAGTTGACTGCCCAAGCAGGATTTCCTAAGTAATTCACCTAGAATCCACCAAATGACTACCAGACTCACGTAATTCATTGATATTTTGGCAGATTTTAAATAATTCATATTGAAACAACTGTGAAAAACTCGGCGTCTTGGTGGGATTCGAACTGCGCCGAGTTTTTCACAGTTGGGTCAATATGAATTATTCAAAATCTGCCAAAATACCTATGAATCAGTGAATAATTGAGAAAGGGCGGTACTTGCTGATTTGTTTGCCGCCATTACCTAGTCACCCCGATCCCAGTCTAGGAAGACGTATAGTTTGTTTTACGGGACGGTTCATCGAAGCCTTGTAACGTAAGAGGCGTGTGTCTGACTTTTTACTCGTTAGGCACACTTCCCGATTTTCTCACACTTTAAAATTGCGACTTTTCCCTGTTTACCGCAGGCTATTCGATGTTCCTTGTTAATAGCTGCACGTACATCGGCGGGAAGAAAAGGGTCATCGGAGGGTGATTTGATGGCCACAAGGCCGTAGGAACTGAGGAAACCTGGTGGATAATGGCCTGCCCGCGCAAGAGTAGATCGTTTGAAGTCAGGAGACTCCACGCCACCGTTATATAAAGCATTCACGCGCCCTTATGGCAGTTCTGGGCATTTAACTGACCTGCCAGTAAAATCCTCTTCGGGCGCCACTCAGCCCGTATGAATTGAAAGGTTTTTGAAGAGGACAGATGGTAGGGCTATTGACGGGGATTTCAACACTTGGACTTCGTTCAGTACGGCTTCAGAAACGGTTGGGAGGTGACCGCTATGTGCAGGGTTAACCCCTTAAACGATTGGCGCGACGTACGAATTTCTTGCGATATCGGTGTACATCAAAAAACCCAAACTTATTAGGAAGGGCAACGATTATATTGCCTAAAATGCATTCTGCGTCAATTTCATACCTTTGCAATTTACAAAGGCGCATGATAATACATTACTAATAAATATAAGCCGGTATTATCAACCGTAAAATCTAACTAAGCAAATAGGTAGGTAGTTCGTTTTGTGATTCAAAGGAAGAAATATGATGCGGCATCTCCAGCTCCCCCCTCTCTTCCAAAAAGTAGAATCGATTGAATGCGTTAAGAGACGAGGGTTGATTTTATTCCCCGAAAAATGTTGACGTACTGACGCATCCTATTCCAACTTATTGCAGAAAACGATGGACGACCATTAGCTGGCCGCATTTTGTTGTCATCTTCACGGCGCTCCCGGAATACACATCGGATTCCTGTGTACTTATGAGAAGCCGCGTAAGTCGTCAATTTCGCACTGCTCAGTCCTCGACCACTGACAGCAACGGGACTGTTGAGGCCATGCAAGGGCCCGCGGATAAGTTTAGAAGTGGTTGTGCTTATGTGACAGTATTCCTACTATTAGACCAGCCGCCATACCTGTCTCTGGTCCTGTGAAAGCACCTAAATGCAACCTTGTGTGTGCTATCCTCCAGGCAGTTATGAAATAAGGTACTTCGATGAACAGCATCCGCAACCGAGAGCAAATGTGATATACCATCAAGATAGCAGCAGACCAAACAGCTTATCTGTGGGTTCGCTTAATCAGAAATGGAAGAGAGGCAGTAGGTTTCTATTAGAACCCTTTTCACCATGCCGCTGTAACAGCAGCTTAAGCCATAGCGAGACCCCAGCCACTACGACCTTCAGGCTCGGTCCAGAAGAGAAAGAGAAGGACTCGAAGGCCAGTTGCGAGAAAAGTGTATTCTACAGGAGTTAGAAAAGGTTGCCTTCATCCAACATGAACCGGTGTTTTGGCGCCGTTACGTTGACGACACGTTCGTCATCGTAAAGAAGGACATGCTGCAACGTTTCCACAGCCTGCTCAACGCAGTCTTCCCTGACATAAAATTCACGGGAGAAGATGAACAGGAACAGCAATTTCCCTTCCTGGATGTGCTTGTCAGACGAAGCCTTAGCGGTGAACTTGAAACGACGGTTTATAGGAAGGTAACGTGCACCACACAGCTTCTCAGTTTTCACAGCAACCATCCGGTGGCTCACAAACGAAGCTGGGTGAAGACGCTCTTCAAACGGATCCAAATCTATTGCAGCAAACCGCAGGACAGAGCACGTGAGGTCCGTTATCTCCGCGACCAGTTTGTGCGAAATGGCTATCCGAGGGCATTCATAAGTCGCTGCCTACGCGGTCGCCACCAGAGAACTCGAACATCAACGCCACCGACGATATAGCATTCTCTGTCATACATCAGGGACGTTTCAGAAGTGACCGAGCACATTGCTTCGGAACTGGGTGTTGGGATTGCACACCGCCCCATAGCCACCATGCGCAATAGGGTCATGAAAATCAAAGACCGGTTAAAGCCTGAAGAGCAATCTGGAGTAGCGTATCGCATTCCGTGTCAAAATTGTCCTTGTAATTACACAGGACAGACTGGACGCATGGTCGGATCGCGCATACATGAACATAAGCTGGCTGTGAGGCGAGGCGACGCATTGTCACAAGTGGCCGCTCACACCTACGAAATGGGTCACGAGTTTAACTTCGCGGCCACCGCAATAGTCGTCCACGCCGGAAACAAAACAGGCCGAGAATCGATTGAAGCCTGAGCCTCGGATGAGAACTTGGTCAATCGATTTATCGATCTGGCGTCCGCGTACAGAGCCCTGCGTAGTCACCTCCAGTCTTGTGCCGTCGGTCGATGACTGGGCCTACAGTCCTTATAACTGCCACTTGTTCTGTTTCTGCCACTACCTCTGTACGAGTCTGAAAGCTCAGGACAATAAACAAAGTGTTCCGGTGCTCGATTCTTCTTCTTCACTTATAGTATATTCTGCACAGAGCAGCTGTAAAAGGGGGTGGAGAGATTTGGCAGTCGGGCGATAATACGGCTGACGGGGGGAGAGCGGCGTCCCGCGAGAGAACGGCGTACGCGTCACAACGCCTTCAGCGGGAGCACGTTCTGCTTAGATCTTGAAGGTGATTGGCTGTGAGGAGGTGGAAACTAGGCCGCCGCCGGTGCGCACGTACAAGCACCCGCGAGAGGCGCAGCATTGCAATAGGCACCCGGAGTGGGGTCTCTAAACTGCTAATCACGTGGGGGGGGGGTGTCTTAGTTAGTAAACATAACTTCACTTAACGTGGGAGGATCACTCACCGGTCTGGCTGCATTATAAGACATGCCTGTCTCATTGTGCCTCCAAGTTCGGTCTGGAGCCCTCACAGGCGGTGGCGTGGTGATCAGTAGTTTGATACAGCGAATATAGACATAGGCGAGGGAGACTGGACTGGATTGGACAGTTCTGACTTATCAGCCTTCCCCTGTCAACCCATCCTACGCCCCAGTTTTAGCTAGCTTGGAGATCGGACCCCGACTCTGACCATTGGGCGTCAAGTCCAGCACTCATAATTAAGCCGCTTATCCTGTCGGCTGCGGTCCAGAAATAAATTTGGGTGTGTGCGTGCGGGTTTTCCATCGGGCCACGTGGTGGAGACGCTGGACCAAAACGGGGCCATATCGGATCCTGGTAGTCGTTTTTGGAATGCAAACCGTAACAAATGCCAACATTTCGGGGTAGGGCGGCAGACCCAGCTGTCGACAGAAGTCATGAATACTGGGACCCCTGCCATCCCCTTCCTTCTTGTTGTTGTTATTGTTGTTGCTGCTGCTGGTCAAAATCCTGGTCATTTGCTGTGTGGACCAGGGGGTGTGGAGTGGGGCGCCGAGGTGCGGCTCGACCGCGTCATCCACCTGCGCCCTCCCCCGCCTCCGGTCTTCTTGATTATGTTTTGACACCGAGCCCAGGTGGGGAAGAAGGAGAGAGTGAGATAGATGCTGTGGCGCTCTGCGGTCCCCCGACGTAAGGAACCGCGCCGCTTCTCAGCTCGGATGGCTCATCGCTTCTGAAGGAGAAGGTGCAGATTCTGAAGTGCTGAGCCGAACACTCCAGAAGCGTCCTCAACCGTCCCTCCACAATCTTCCACGCCGCTATCGACCGGTTCCTCCAAGTGGAAATCAGCGTCGGCCTGGACCTGCCGCCCTCTCCTCCAGAAACCGTCCGGGCCGTGCAGCAGATCACCAGCGCAAAAACACCAGGCTCCGATGCGATCCAAGCTGAAATCTACAAGCACGGCGGCCACCAAATGATGGACCAATTGACGGCATTATTTCAGGAGATGTGGCGCTGCAGGCAGATTCCCCAGGATTTCAGGTACGCAGCCATCGTCCATCTGTACAAGCGTAAAGGGAACCGGCAACTCTGCAACAATCACAAAGGCATCTCGCTACTCAATATCACCAGTAAGATGTTCGCCCGCATCCTCTTCAATCGTCTCAACGGTTAACCAGAGCAAAGACTACCGCCGAAAGGCCAAGATGACCTCCGACACACAGCCGGACCACCGATGTAATTTTGCCGGCCGCCGGTTACAAGAGAAGTGCCAGTAGATGCTGACTCATCTCTTCACCACCTTCGTGAATCTGATGAAAGCCTACGACACGGTGAATCACGAAGGATTGTGGAGAATCAGACAGAAGCTGGGCTGTCCCGAGCGATTCACGCACACTGTATGTCAGCTCCACGATGTGATGATGGCGTGTGTCACGGACAACGGCGTAATCTCCGAGGCATTTGCAGTGACCAATGGAATGAAGCAGGGATGCATACTCACACCCCCCATCTTCCGTCTCATGTTCTCTGACATGCCGGTGGACGCCTACGGTGATGAGCGTCCCGCGACACGCATGGACTACAGGACCGACAGGCACCTTCCAAACAGCCGGCGAATGAAGGCTCCCGTGAGTCTCTCTACAATCACTATCCAAGATCTGCTCTTCGCTGACGACTGAGCACTCAGCAGTGCGATCGAAGAAGACACGCAACGGAACATGGATTTCTTTGACGTCGGCTGCTCCCACTTCGGACTGACCATCAATACAGGCAAGACGGTGGTCATGCATTAACAGCCATCGAACGCTGAATGCAGTACCCATCACATCCGCGTCAAAAGCACCGAATAGAGGCCCGTGGATAACTTAAACCGCCTAAGCAGCACAACGTCACTGTGAATCAGAATCGATGAAGCGACGCACCGGATCTCCAAGGCCAGGCAGGCATTCAGCCGACTGCATAACCCCGTGTGGAATCGCCACGACCTTCAACTGAATACCAAACTGAAGATGTACAAGTTCGTCGTCCGGACGACACTTCTCTACGGAGAGGAGATCTGGACCGTCTACTCCAGCTCTGCCAAGAAACTCAAACACTTGGATCTCAGCTGCCTTCGCAAAATAATAAAGCTCAAGTGGAAAGACAGGATCCCCGGCATGGAACTTCTAGAACGGACCTGCATCCTTAATATTCACGCCATGCTGAGGCAACTGCAACTACGTTGGAGCAGCCGTCTCGTGCGGATGGAAGATAAACGACTACCGAAATAACTCCTCCATGGTTATGTGGCCACCAGTGCTCGCCGACCGGGAGGACCGAAACGACGCTACAAGGACACACTGAAGAATTCTCTTAAATGATTGTACATCAGTCCAGAGATCTGGGAGAACCTCACCTGGAACAGACCGGCTCGGAGAAGAGACGTGAAGACTGGGGCAGCTATCTACGAAGTAAATCGCACCGCCGCCACCGAAGTCAAAATGGCAGCTGATAAGTCTCAGGCGTCTCAGATATTCAACGTCGCCACTCAATGCCACCCAGCGTGTCCGCGCTGACAACGAGCATTTTGTTTGCGAATCGGCCTCGTCGATCATCCTCGGACCCAATGCAACAACCGTCCGACGACCGCACCCGCTTCGCCCTCCACGTTGACCACATCGGCACCCACCCTCGCCAGTGCTGCTCCAAATTCCCGTGCCGCACTGTTGTCGGCCACTGCCCCCTCCACTACCATTGCCTTAACTACCGCAAGGACGTCGAACACAACCACCTCTGTCACCACAGTCAGTGACTGAAGCTCTCCTGACGTCCCGACAACCACCCACACATTCGCCATCACCACCCCCACCTATAGGGATGTTAATTCGGTCCATACCTGTCCTCACTGCGGTCGCACATTCGTCTCAAACATCGGCCTGGTCGGTCACTTGCGAATCCATCGCACAGAGACTGACGGACTAGCGCCTGGAGCACCTGCATACACTCGCCGCATTCGCATCAAGTGCCCTCACTGTCACCGCACATTCACTGACAGCATGGGCCTATAAGGACACACAGGCATTCCGAAAACCTGAGGTAGACAACTGCGGGTTATACCCCACCAGCACCCGCACCTTTCAACACCATCACTCATCACAAGCGCCCATTTGCCACCGCCCATGCAAGAGGAATGCGTGCTCCTTGGCTCCTTCTCCATGCGGTTCCTCTGCTGCATGTGAGATCCGAGTCTGCGAATGTCACGGTGCACAAACCGCCGTGGCTTTGAAGGCTGCCGAATGACGCCTCAAATCACTCCACGCAGTCTGCCCAGCTGTGTTTATGTGGAGTGGCGGACTGGTGGACTGAGGGTCATACTGCAACGGCTCCTTCTCAATGTGACCTCTGACACTCACACACATGTGAGGAGTGTGTGTGTGTGTACATGGGTAAAGTTTCTCAGTCGAAGACTGATTGGGTACTCAGCCTTTGAAGACTGATGGATCAGGCAAATGCAGGGCTGTGTATCACCCTTCTGGGCCCCAAGGATTGTAAGCGTGTGCTATGCCAGTATCAGCAAACCATGATCCTCGCAGGCTGATGTGTGCTATCAGTTCTCTGAAACCTGGTTCCCTGCCAGTAGATGCGTTTGGGCTCCCGCTGGGTATACAGGTGGTGAACATGGCTGCCCAGTCATCCTCGTCTTTCTGACCCGTTGTGGAACTACTGTTGTTGGCTAATATCCTGATCAAATGTTTGTTTGTTGTGGACCATGGGGTGTGGTGGTGCGCTTAGGTGTGGGTCCGGCCGTGCCAGCCACTTGTGCCCTCCATCATCACCAGTCTTCTTGACTATGCCTCAAGTGGAGAAGGCAGAGTGTGCGGTAGATGACGAGCAGGTCTATTCTCACTGTAAATTAATTCTCGCGCAAGTCATCATGCCTGTCTCACCTTGCTTTGGAGCACACTTTGGACATCGTCAAGCACGACGGTCAAACTATAAATGTCAAGAAGATTAGAAATCCCTGTGAGCTGTGTAATTACTTACCGTACTGACAACAAAGGTAAAATTTAAAAACCCAGACACGCGTGGTTCGGCGATCATGTGCGCTGCCTGACGCAGTTGCGAGAGTTCCAGCTCATCAGTGAGTCCCCCAGCCTTCAACGTGTGTCAGTCAGCGGTACAAGATCGTCGAAACGCGCGTGTCTGGGCTTTTAACTTGTACCTGTGTTGTCAGTACGGTAAATAATTACACAATTGTATGCTACTGGACGCCTGTTGGCGGATTGTGAACATTACGCTGTCATTCCGCAGTAGCTGATGGAATTCAGCTCAAATATTCATATCGAATTAGGTCAGTGTCTTAGAAGAGTCTGTTCCGATGGATTTACTCCAAAGTTCGCGCATTAATTTCCTCGGAAATTAAACAAGGTATCTCTGTGAGCGCCTGTGAAGGTTGTCAACCGACGATTCAAATCAGATCGAGCAGTCTGCCTAGTGTATATTTCTACGTGGAGTGACCGACTGGTGGACTGAGAGTCAGGCTCAGTGACTCATGAATGGGACCTCCATGGCCCTCTCACGCGTGTGAGATCCGAACGAGTCGCTTCCTTTGTCTAAAAACCTGATGTGTTTTCTGGGGGGCAGGTCATGTGGGGCACGCGCAGTCGACATCTTTAGTTCTGTCAGCCACTGCACCCAGTCCTTGCACCAGACAACGGACCGGTTTGGACAGTGGACTGGTGCCTGGGAGAGGGAAGAGAGAGAGACGCGCTTGAACCCAACACGGTGCGCCAAAAGCCATGGCTTGGAAGACTGCCAACTGACAGGATAACTCGGTTCTCCTCTCAGGTCGGAGAATCAGGCTGCAATGGCTCCTTATTAGTGTGACCTTTATGACACCAACTCAGCTGAGAGCCAGGCCGCTCCCTCTGTTTTTGTGTGGAATCCTGGTCCATCTTGCTCGAACCACACACATGTGTGGGGCAAGAGTAGAAGGGCCCGATACCCCCCGTCCTCGTGACTCTTTCGTGACACCGGGCCCGGGAGGTTGAGGGAGAAGAGATTGCAGTTGATGCAGCACAAACCTACTATCACTATAAACCCGTTCGCGCGTAAGTCACCGTCCCTGCGCTCACAATGCTGTAGTACGGACGATGGACGTTGTTAGAACCAAGCGGCGAGAAGAGGTGATCTGTGAGCTACCGTCATCGGGTCAGATGCCAAATTGAAAGGAGACGGCAGAAGGGACCAGGATGAGGGGTTTATTGAGCACAGAACCCGGAGTTGTCCTTTCAGGCGGCAGTGGCCACTGGCGAAGCCAGGGCTGGTGTTGACTGCGTCCAGTCAGGCCTGAGAGTCCCTGAGATAGCGGTGGCAGCCGCTTTTGTAGGCTCGTGGGCCCAGCTGAAGTGGTCTCCAATAGGTGTGTGTTGCATTTGCCCAGGGGTCATGTCCCAGTGGCTTGTTTTGCTGGTTGCAAGGGGTGACGCATTCAAGCGGCCGCATGGGCAGCTGCGACTGCGCGGACGCAGGTATGCCCGAGCTGTTGGTCGTGTGACTTCAGGTCAGCTCATCTGGGACGGCTTGCTACAAGGGGTGAATGACCATGAGGCAGCGAGGTCTTGAACAATGACGCCGGGCCAGTCATGATGGCTAGCCGCCACAACGTCATTGGTACTGACAGCCCAGATGTCACATTGATAGCTTGGGCCCCACGCCGGACTGTGGTGTAAATGCGTTAGGCCAGGACTGGAGCAAGATCAGCTACCGCACGCGTTGGTCGCGCTTCGCAGAGCCTTCAGGAGATTATAACCCCCGCCGTACACCGGAGACGTGGTGGAACGCCTGAACGCGCCGCCAGCCACTGCCTCTAATCTCGGAATTAGCTGGTTTACAGGCTCAAACAGTCGAGTGGTGCATGGGAAAGGGATGAGAAAGAGAGAGAGATAGAAAGTGAGGGTGAGGCCAGCATTTAAGAATCCATCCCCACGGCACAGCATCACATTCTTCCCGCTAACCAGTCTGGCGCGCTTAAATCTATCACATCTCACTAAACGGAGTGGCCTGAATGGCTGCCATCTTACAGGATAACTCGGTTCTTCTCAGGATGGAGAGTCGGACTTCAATGGATCCTCCTTAATGTGCCCTTCATAGTCCTTTCACATATGGGAGTTCAGAGGTGCCCTTACAAAAGCCTGATACAAAGAATGAGACACAATCACTGAACAGGAGCTTAATTAACCTGACGTTTCGTAATCTAACTCGAGTCAATAATAAGAGACAGAGCTCGATAATGGCAGTGGATCGTCCAGGCGTTGCCATATTCGGCGAGGTTTGGCCCTGAAGTCCCACTTGATTTATGCCATATGGTTAGCTTACTGAAACATTATTACTAAACATACCTAACTTAATCACTATCTGGATTAGGAAGGGAAGGAGAACGCAAGCACTGTCAGCCTGACATCAATCTACTAGATAAAACCATCAAAAGGGAGTTGATGGCTTATTTGTAAACTTACAACCTCTTGACGAATATGAAATACGGCTTGTGCAGGGGATGATCGTGTGTAACGAACCTGCAAATCACAATGAGAAGCTGGACAAGAGCACTCAATGCAAAACACACTTTGTATGTGGCCTAAATTGATTTCCGCAATATGTTCGACAGTGTTCCGAACCAGCGTCATCTCTAAAAGTCGAA